CGTAAAGTGCTGACTAAAATCGTAAATTTAAACCAAGAATTACACTATGAACTGTGTTTACTAAAAAAAACCGGATCAATTAATTTAAAATTTTCTACAAGGGAGGATAACGATTGAAATTTGTATTGCTACAAAGAGGTTTATTTTGTTAAAAGATAAGTTGATAATTTGCTAGCTTTGTTACAACATCGTGTTCGTAAAACACTCATTGTGTTGGTACATGTATAGTGATATGGATTTCAATACTACATGTAATGGGTACCGTTCAACATCCCGAGGACCACATATGCCCGACAAACGAAGTCCCGAAAACTCAACATCCCGAACACCCAACATCCCAAAAACTCAATATCCTGAAAGCTCAACATCCCGAAATATAGCATAATATAAATAGTATATATATACAACTTTTTCTTTAATGTCATGATTTTATGTGTTGGAATTTTGAATTTACAAAATATGAGCTTACTTAGTTCACCAAGTGCGAACATAGATGATTCGCCAAAAAGTCCCTTTACAACTACTCTCCCCAGAAGACTCGGTATATTGGTCGATAAAGCCACATCACCTATCAGACACTGGAGATTCTGTGATCGAAGATAATAATAACTCCAGTAAAAAACAGGAAAGAGCGAATCTCCTAAATTGAGAAAGCTCATCAAAGAATTGTCTTATAAACCCCGACTATGTTAAGCTCGGTTCTACCAACATCCACTCTGACAATGGAAGACGTCGCTTCACCACACAAGATTTCTTCCGCCGAAGCTCAAAATGATACCACGAGCCGAGATCTAAACTTTTTCAATTCTAAATAATAATTGTGTATTTTTTGATGAAAAGCCAAATTTAAATTATCTCAGTATATTCGCCGGTTTTACTTTTTCTTTCAAAGGTATCGAAATTAAGTTGGGACGAAATCAATTTATTAATAAAGTTTCGAGGTCAGGGACTTGTAGAGCAACTAGAGATAATATATCTTTTGGTCATGCTAATATAAAGGCATTTCGTATCCAGGTGGCCAGTTTATTATTCGACTTCTCTAGTGAATAACGATACTTCACAATCTTTTGATCACGGTTGATCAATGATTGTGGTAAATGGAATTCTCACATATTATTTGTACCCAGGGTAGGCTCGTCTCTTCAATCTCTTTAAAATGTCAGCATATTTTCTACAAAATATCTTACACCGTTTAATTATTTTCGTAGTGAGATTCGGTCAGGGATCTTCACATATAATAAGGGCCAAGAAAACCGGGATTACTATAAAAAACTTTCGAAAAAAGAATTACTAAAAGCGAGGGAAATTTGGAATTCGGTTAAGTGCACCTTTTTTTTAATTTAATAAATTGAACATATGATGAAATTTGGGGACGTATGATTGCTCTAAATGAAGGGATTTAAAATTTGTGCGTAAGTTGGTTAAAGGTG